GAGAGAGAGAGAGAGAGAGAGAGAGAGAGAGAGAGAGAGAGAGAGGAAGCAGCTGAAGAAGGTTTTCCAGGGCCTGGGTGACCAGAGGCTGGGACAGGGAGGAAGCAGTAGAGGTGTGGAATAAAAAACAGGATCTTAGTGACCACTCTGAAACCTCCTTGTTTTCTGCCTTTCCTATATTCTTCACATCCTTGTGAAGTCCCTTTAAACACTGATCTCAAAAATGCGTCTCTAATCCTCCTCCTATGCCACTGTGTTCTCATTAATCTTCCTTAAAGAGCAAGTCTGATCTTAACCACTACTCAAAAACAAAAACACAATCCCACAGACTTAGTGGTTTCCCATTGCTTTACCAAAATAAGTATGAGTCTCTTGGCAATGAAAACTCTGCAACAGGGCTCCAACCTGCCTTTCCAGCTGTCACATCCAGTCATCTACCCAACAAATACGGACCTAGAGCCTTCTGTACATACAGCAGGGTCCCGGCCCTCATGAGGTCCATGGTCCAGTTCTACAGCTTGCTCATCATGGCAGAAATGCCAATTCTCTCGATGTTTGATCCAACCACACACTCCCAAAGCACTAAGCATACGTCTTTTTATTATAGCCCTTCATTTCAATTTGCCCAATAGCACTGTGTAGTGTCCTGCTTATAGACTTGTTGAAGGTAGGTACTGACCTTAATCATTTTTACTCAGTTTATATTTATAGAAGTTAAATTTCACTGCAGGGAATGAAACACAGGAAGAGAGAGATTATCAACCCAATGTTTTTCTGATTTCTCAGAGTTTCAGACATGGTACCTGAGTTTGCTGGGTGGTTTCAACCCCCCACTAGAGGTGCTCAACAGTCTGCTGCTCCCGAAGCCCAGGGAGGAGGGTCTGCTCAGTGATTCCAGAGAGGGACTCTTTCGGAGGTAAGGGTCTGGTTTCAAGTCCTCAGCCCTTCCCTTCAGAAGATCTGTGTGAGCAACAACATAATCATCTATTCCTGAGGAGGGAAAATTTACTCTCAAGTATAATACAATTCTCATTTTTATTCACAAGTATAAATATACAAACATTTTTTCCCAAAGTAATAAAAATGCAAATAGGGACATGGCATTTTCTACAAAGAATTCTCCAGGCAGAAATACCTACATAATCAATAGGACGTAGTGCCAAAATCATTCCCTTGTTAAAAAATTATTGTGATTTCAAAACAGCATTATCAGAGCATTAAACTAAATATGGCCCTTTCTAAAAGCCTTGTGCAACTACTTGGCTGCCTACAACACTGGTCCTGTCCCCAAAGTACGCGTTTGGTTGTAATGAGAGAGGCAAGCTGGCAGGAAAATACCCCATGTGATTGTCAGGTCACAGGCAGCAGCAGACAAAAAGCTAGGAAACAATGTAACTATTTTATAAGAGAAAAAGCCATTCTAATCACAGGGCCTGGCTCATTAAAAAATATGCAAAAATCCTCCTTTTTAAGGCACTTTTCTATTGTCATATTAGTCTGAGTTAAACAGGTGCAGAAATGGGCTGAACCCTCCAGATAGTTCACAGGAGCCATAAAAGCAGAGAACATTTTTGGAGACGGTCTTAAATAGGGAGAGGAAACTGCAGCTCAGTGAATTAGGTGACTAGTTCAAAACTAAAGGACCATCAATGACCAGGTTTAGACCACCTCCTGGGACCCACAGACAGTCACGGAAGAAAACAATACTTCTCTAGCTAATAGCCACCAATTATGGGCAGTGAAGTTGGGAGTGAGACCAATTAGCTCTAAATAGTAGAGAAAAACAGTGTTTATATCACTAAAGAGAACAACAAAAACAGCGCATTAATCCCTTCTACAACTTCTGATGACCTCAATGTTGACAAGCAGTTGCTGGAAATGGCTGGAAGCAAACAATTTTTACTGTGTAATCCTCTCTTTATTATAGTAAATAGAATTACCCCAGCAGACAGGTGCCAGATGGGTAAGGGCTGCCAAAGAGCTATTCACTTCACAACCACAGCGTGGCCTAAACTTCAGTATTTATCCTATCTATTAGAAGAATAATTTCTTTAGACAAATAGGAATTTCTTTAGACACTACTGGAACAGAGAGAACAAAAACCCTATGATTCAAAGCCCATCCATTGAGTATATTTAAAAATGGCTAAGATTGTAAATTTTATATTATGTAGCTATTACCACAATTTATTTTAAAAAAGATCACCTAGAAGCATGCATACAGTTAAGCTACTCCCCATTTTACACTAAGGAATGAGCGTTACATTGTTATGCATAGAACACAAATCAGGCTGAGTTTCAACCTTCTGTTTTGGCCACTTCCCTCCATTTCTAGGAAAAAGGTGCTCAGACTTGGATGTCCATGACTTTAAGTTGAAGCTGTGCTCATTTGCCATTCTGAAGATACTGGGACTCTTAATGATACCAGGTGGCGACGGTGGCTCACTCCTGTAATCCTAGCTACGCAGGAGGCAGAGATCAGGAGGATTGTGGTTTGAAGCCAGCCCAGGCAAATAGTTTGAGAGACCCCTATCTCAAAAAAAACCTATCACAAAAAGGGCTGGTGGAGTGGTTCAAGGTGTAGCCCTGAGTTTAAGCCCCAGTACCGGGGGAAAAAAAAAAAAAAGAATACTAAATCTACTCTGCTGTGGTACTATAAATGGAGCAGCAAAGACTGGCTGGCAGCACATCTGTTTACACCCCTGAGATGCACTGCTCAGAAAAAGCACCACTCTCAAAACACTACTGCCCACTGACAGTGTACCTGGTCACCCATGACCTCTGATGGAAAAGTATAAGATGAATGTTATTTTAAATTAGTGTTTTTTCATGCCTGCTGACACAACAGCTATTCTGCAGCCTTTAGATCAAGAAGTCATTTAAACTTTTAAGTTTTATTGTTTAAACAACACATTTCATAAGGCTACAGCTGTCATACATGGTAATTCTCCGATGTATTTAAGCAAAGTAAATAAAAACCTTCTGGAAAGGATTCACTATTCTAGATGCCATAAAGAGCATTTGGGTCTATAATCTAGCTACTCAGGAGGCAGAGATTGGGAGGATTGGGGCTCAAGGCCAGCCAGGGCAAAAAGAATTAGTGACACCCCCATCTCAATCAACAAATTGGGTATAATGATGCATACTCATGAGCCCAGTCACTGAGAGGCATAGGTAGAAGGATCAAGGTCCAAGGCCAGCACAGGCAAAAATGCAAGGCCCTATCCAAAAAATAACTCAAGCAAAAAAGGACTGGGGGAATAGCTGAAGTGACTAGCACTTGCCTAGCAAGTATAAGGCTCTGAGTTCAAATTCTAGTACTGTCAAATAAAAAACATTCATGATTCTTGCAAGGTCAAAATATCGTTAACAGGAGTTTGGAGGAAATTAATTGTAGTCCCCACAGATGACTTTAGAGTTCAAGACTTTGGTGGAGGAAGTGTACAGACAAGTAGAATCAGCAAGGGAACTAGAACTGGAAGGGGAGTCTGAGGATGGGGTTGAATTACTGCCACCTCACAATAGATAAAACTTTAACACACGAGGAGTTGCTTCTTATGGAGGAGCAAAGAAAATGGTTTGTTGGGATGGAGCTGGCACCTGGAGAAGATGCTGTGAACACTGTGAAATGACAGCGAAGGATGTAGACTATGACATTAAACTTGGAAATTACAGCAGCAGCAGAGACTCATTGAGAGGACTAACTCCAATCCTGAAGAAGTTGTGTGCGTGTGGAATGCTGTCAACAATACCGCACACTATAGAGAAATCTTTTGTGAAAGAAGAGTCAATCGATGTGGTGAACTTCATCACTGTCTTATTTTAAGGAACTGCCACAGCCACCCCTGCCCTCAGTTACCACTACCTGACTGGTCAGCAGACATCACATCAAGACAAGAACTTCTACCAGTAGGAAGATTAGGACTTGCTGAAGCTTGAGATGTTAAGTGTTTTTTAAGCAATAAAGTATTTCTAATTAAAACTCGTGGCCCCACACTAGCTAGGCAGGCATTCTATCACTTTAGCTACTCTGCTAGCCCTTTTTGCCTTAGTTATTTTTTGAGATAGGATCTTGCTTTATGCCTGGGCCGGCCTGGAAAGCAATCATCCTATTTATGCTTCCTATGGAAGTAGGTTGACAGGAGCATGCCACCAGGCCCAGCCATTGGTTGAGAAGGGGGTCTCATGAACTTTTTGCCTGGACTGGCCTTGAACTGAGATCCTCCTGATCTTTGCCTACTGAGTAACTAAGATTGCAGGCATGGGCATCATACCCGGCTGTAAATATAACTTTTATATGTACAGGGAAACCAAAAAAAAATACTTGACTCATTTCATTATGATATTAGCTCTACTGCAGGGGTCTGGAACCACATGTGCAATATGTCTGAGGTTTGCCTGTATTCTGGAAAAGCTTACTAACGTTCCACTAGACTGAAAGTGCTATTGCCCTCTTTGTTCTGTGCACATGAACTAACTCTGCAGGGAACATGACAACAGGAACTACTTCTACTATACCCAGGCTAAGTTCTAAATGCTTCAAATATGTTAACTCTATCCTTCAAATGATCTTATGATGTAGGCAGTTATTTCTATTTTAGAGGTGAGGAAACCAAAGCACCAGAAATGTCAGTGGCAGTCCCAAGATTCAAGTCCAGGCAGACACACTCCTACGTCCTCTTCATGGCCTTTCCCACCCACCATGAGCACTGCAGGCACAGAAGGAATGAAAAGGTGACCTGCAAGAACTGCATCATCAAGATTTGAACTAAAAAAACACAGTGTAACAACAGGAAGAGGATTATGCTCAAAGACGAGTATCTTAAAAGAGGCATATTTTGTGGAAGCAATAGACGTTCAAAATCAGATAAGGTTTTTTGCTTGAAATAGTTTTTTTAAATTCTCCTAAGATTCAGTTTATTAAAACAAACAAAAACAAAAAACCAAAACCATGTTTGGCATCTCTCCCTAGTTCACACACTCAGTACAACTTTGTAAGAGATGCTTTTTTCTCTCATCCACTGCACAACTAGATCTAATGTCCACCAAAGTTGAAATCAGTTGGGATAAATGCGACCAATTATTTTTTCTAAATTCAATTTCATACAAAGAAAAGCCAACTCCACAAAAAAAAAAATCACAAGTACTTGGTGTGTAAGGACTTTACCTGAGAGGGGGAGGTCTGGGAGGTCCGAGCGCTGAGCCAGCCCTTTGCTGGCTGGCCGCATGCTGCTGTACGTCGAATGTCTCTAACAAGATCAAAGGGAAGCATGGTGAGCTTGTGACAGCAAGAACAAGGCAACACAGGTATGTGTGGGTACGCAACAGTTCTTAAGCACGTTAGAATCACCAAGGGGAGCTCTTAAAATAACTTATTTGAATAGGTAATAAATGCAACTGGCATAGACCCTAAAGGGAATAAAAAATGAAAATGAAAATAGTGAAAAAATTGTCTATTACTCCTATCACCCATTTCTTCTCCCAGAGACATGACTATTAATCAGTCTCATGAATATCCTCTCTAAAGTATGTATTTATACATCCAAGGCTGTATGCAAAAATACTGTGGGTGTTTTTTAAGTGGTTACAGGTATAAGAAAAGATATTCAATATCACTAATCAGGGAAATGTGAATCAAAACCACAATGAATTATCACTTCATTCCCAGGAGGAGGGTCATTATAAAAAAAAAAGGAAAATAGCCGGGCACCAGTGGCTCACGCCTGTAATCCTAGCTACTCAGCAGGCAGAGATCAGGAGGATCGTGGTTTGAAGCCAGCCCGGGCAAATAGTTTGTGAGACACTATCTCAAAAAACCCTTCACAAAAATAGGGTTGGTGGAGTGGCTCAAGGTGAAGGCCCTGAGTTCAAGCCCCAGTACATAAAAAAAGGGAAAATAACAAATATTGATGAAGATATGGAGAAATTAGAAATTAGAACTTATATACTGCTGGTGTAAATGTAAAATGGTGCAATAGAAAACAGAATTATGGGGGGAGGAGGCTATAAGGAAAGGGTGAAGGAGGGTGAATATGGTAGAAATATTATGTACTCATGTATGAGAAAGGAAAAATGAGACCTGTTGAAACTATTCTAAGAATTGGGGGAGGGAGGACAAAGGAGAATGATAGAGGGGGTAAATTAACTATGATATATTGTAAGCATTTTTATAAATGTCATAATGTACAATAGTAATATGATAATAAAAAAGATTTTAAAAAAGAAAACAGAATGAAGCCTGGTGTAATGGTGCATGCCTATAATCCCAGTTACTCTGGAGGCAGGAGGACCTCGAGTATGAAGCCAACCTGGCAAAAAGGCAGTAGGACTCTGCCTCAAAAACAAAAGGGCTGGGAGCATAGCTTAAGTGGTAGAGCTCTTGCTTAGCATGATGAGGCTCTGGGCTTAAAACCTGGTACTGAAAAACAAACAAACACCATCACCACAACAAAAAATGAACAGAATGAAGGTTCCTTTAAAAATTAAAAACAGAACTACTGGAGAGCTGGCAGAATGGCTCAAGTGGTGCCTAGCAAGCACTAGGCCCTGAGTTCAAAACCCAGCACTGCCAAAAGAAAAAGTGCAGATTTCATGTTATGTATTTTATAACATCATAAAACCCTCTGGTTTTATAAAAACACAAATGTTATAACATTACACTATTTGTATACCATTTGGCTTTGTTCACTTAATATATCTTAGAGTTATTATCCACCACAGGAGAACTGCCAGACAAGAGGTCATGTGACACAGGGGCAGCCAGATTGCCTCCAACCAGCTGTGTGACTGTGAGTTACTGAGTCTCTGTGCCTTATCTTCTGTAGCTATCAAATGGCAGTGATACCAATAGTATTACCCTGGAAAGGTGTTGGGAAGCAAAAGCCACTTAGAACATTCAAAACAGAGTCTGGCAAAACTAAGCATTCAGTGAGTATGGCTTATGCATCTGACCGATCTTCTGAACACTGGTACAGACACTGGCACTGGTATCTTGCATAATGCTGCATTGAATAGATTGGTTTACTTGTGCACATTTGTGAGCAGGGCCATTCTGAAGCCTTCCAGAGCATTCTTTCTTTTGGGGACCTACTCCACATCAATATTAAGTAGGATACATTGTACCCAATGCCCCACATAAATATAGCTGTCATAGCACACAATTTTCAAAAGTATGTTTACATCTTATTTTTGAAGTTAATAAACTTAATAAAAGTGACAATATAAGGGCATCCATGTCCCGTTCACAATCTTATGGGAAAGCATCCAGTATTTCACCATTAAGTAGGACTTTGCTATATACACAGCACAGTAGAGACCCTTTATCAAATTAAGGAATTCCCATTCCATTTTTTTCTAAGATTTTTTTTTGGCAGTACTAGGGTCTGAACTCAGGGTCTTGTGCTTGTTAGGCAGGCACTCTACCACTTAGGCCATGCTCACAGCCCCTTTTTGCTTTAGTTATTTTTCATATAGGGTCTTCTGGTTTTTGCCTGGGGCCAGCCTTGGACTTCAATCCTCTTAACTATGCCTACTGAGTAGCTGAAATTACAGATATGTACCACATGTCTGGCTTATTTGTTGAAATGGGGTCTTGTTACTTTTTTCTCAGGTGGGCTCAAACTGTGACCCTCCCAATTTTTGTCTCCTGAGTAGCTGGGATTATAGATGTGAGCCATTGCATCCAGCCTTTTCTTTTTTCTATTGCTGGGGATGGAACTCAGGGCCTTGCCTAAGGTTGGCAAGTGCTCTACTACTGAGCTATATTTCTAATCCCTAAGATTTTTTTTAATCAAGAAAGGTGTTTATCAAATATATTTTCTTCTCCCTACTAAGATTACTATATGCTTTTCTTCTTTGTTAATGTGGTAAATTTCTCTGATACTTTTCAATAGTTAAAACATTATATTCCTGGAATAAATCCCACTTGACACAATCTGAATTTGGTTTGCTAACATTTTGTTCAACATTTTTTAAATAATAGAGGTTCATAAAAGAGACTGACCTTTTAAATTTTCTATCTTTTAATGTCCTCATCAGAATTAAGTATCAAAACTATGCTGGCCTTTAAAATGAGCTGGTAAGGTTTATCTACTTTTCTAGTCTCTAACAATTCATGCTAAACTTGATATCACTTTTCCCTCAAATGCTTGGCAGATTTCACTGTTAAGCATTCTGAGCTTGGTGTTTCTGTTGCAGAAAGATTTGAATTATGAACTAAGATTTTTCTATTTTATCTTATGTTAGTTTAGTAAATTATGTTTCTCTAAGATTTTTTTTACCACTTCGTCCACATTTTATAATATATTAGAACAAAGTAATAATTTAAATTATCTTATCATTATTTTAATATCTATAGTATCTTTAGTGACATACTCCTTTAAAAAGTTCTGATATATTGGGGCTGGGGGTATAGCTCAGTGGTACAGCACTTGCCTAGCATGCATAAAGCATGGGTTTGGCCCCCTACCACTATAAAAATAAATAAACAAATGTTTATAATATAGGTAATTTATACTTCCTCTTTTCATTGTAACAGTCTTGCCAGAAGTTCATCAATTTCAACATCTTGAAAAGAACAAACATTATGCAGAACTCCTTTTAATAGGCTTAATGACTGGCAAAGTGGCTCAAGGAGTAGGCAACTTACCTAGCAAGCATGAGACTCTGACTTCAAACCCCAGTAACACACACAAAAAATGTTTTTTAAAAATTTGACTTTTAACAGATAGTATGCTAGTTTTAAAAAATCCATTTTTAACTGAAAGCATCTATGTGGGGGGAGGGCGGTACTGGGGGTTGAACTCAGGGCTTCATGCTAGGCAGTTGCTCTTCCATTGGAGCCAAGTCTCCAGTCCTTTTTCTCTGGTTATTTTGGAGACAGGGTCTTGTTTATTCCCAGGTCAACCTGGACAGCGATTCTTCTGTTTTAAGTCTCCTGTTATCGATGGGCTAACAGGTGCCACCACCACAACCAGCTTTTTTCTATTGAGATGGGTTTTTTTTTTTATTTTTTATTGTTTTATTATTCATATGTGCATACAAGGCTTGGGTCATTTCTCCCCCCTGCCCACACCCCCTCCCTTACCACCCACTCCGCCCCCTC